GACGACGTTACAGCAGAAAATTGGGATTTTGTAGCAAAAATAGTTGATTAGAAATTGCATATGAGGATAAGGACTCAAAAATTATTTCAGATGCTTTCAGGATGACGTTATTATGGCTTTTCGCCATCCTCTTATCAGTAACGGCACGACAATACCTTCCATCAAATCGTGTTCCCAAATGGAAAACCGCAGATCCGAATTATGGGCCAGATTACGGGCAACCGGAACAAATTCATCTTTCCATGGGAGGTCAGATTTTCTCATGATGTCTATTTCCATAAGGAACTAAATTCCATTGAAGACTTCAGCTTCGCCCACAGAAATGATAGTCACCTGGTTGACGTTCGATGATACGGAGAAGTCATTTGTGCATTACGGACTGATCACTGATAAGAAACTCGAGCAGGTAAGAGATTTTATCGACAGAGAAGGGCAAATCCACCCATCGTGTTTGGCTACCTCTTCTACATAACGCAGCTACTTGAAAGGTAGGAAGAGATCAGGATTTTTTGCTAGGGACTACGTATGAGGTTCCAGGATGGGTGACCTCCTTTCGCGGGGGGAGGCGAGAATCTTGTTCCACGCAACGAGGGGATCACTTATCAAGAAGCTTCTCCCTCCCCCCCCCCCACCTCTTGGAGGGAACATGTAGCTACTGATGTAGTCACGAATCCACATCCTCAGCTCACAGCGCCTTTATCCAACGGTAAAAATCCGGATAACGAAGATTTTTACAAAAATGTTCCCCACTCTGAATATGCGCTATAAACTAATAAGAGAATGAATCTCCAGGTTTCTGAGGCTCGCTGTAGTGAATTCGTCGACAATCCAAAATCGAAGAAGAAGCGATACATTCATAGGGCTACGCTTTCTGGTCTAGCTCCCGGAAAGACATATCGTGGGTTATATTCTTTTCTATATCTAGGAACTTACATCAAATACAAAAACGAGCGCTATCGCAAGATAGTGGGGCACAGTTTCGTCAAAACGTTTTAAAGGCGTAAATTATTTCGTTTTTGTGAAAAAAAGGCTAACAAGTGGAGGAGGAGTGATTCCAGATTTCATCAGCAGTTTCTTGATATCCCGACCTTCCTGCCTTGGGCTTAGTACTAAAACATGCCCCTGTATCTTGCGATAGCGCAAAAAATGTATAGTTTTTTTCGTAACACAACATAATAATAAACAAAATCGATAATGGCAATTTTTCTCAATATCTGTTACAGAATATCGTGTGGGCAGTGATCATGGATGGAGCGCTGTCTATAAGTTCACTGCGTTGGCCCCACGAGATGATGGCGGCTACGAAATTGCTGTGTTCGGAGACTTGGGTAACCAGAATGCTCGGTCGCTGGGCAAACTTCAGCGGATGGCACAAGATGGTGATATCGACATGGTTCTGCACGTTGGTATGTGATGAGAGAACTAGACCTTAGACAAACACCCATTTACCGCAATGGGGACTGGATAAATATGAGTTTGGATATATAAAGGGTAGCTAACCCATGCGACCGCGTGCTGCACCATGTGCAGCACGCTACCACGCCGAGAAGCATAATAATCTTCGATTTTTTCAGCATTTTGCTAAGTTACAAAATCAACATTTTTCTTTTTCAGGCACTGGATATATCTTATATTTGCGTACTGGTTAAATTTTTGATAGATCATTGGCCACTGATAAAAGAGATGACAAAAACCTACGGAGGTGCAATTATAACGGCGGTCCGCAATGGGTTAAACTATGGAGCTTGGTAATCAAAGAAAAAGGAGGAGAAAAAACCACTTAACAACTGCTCCCCAATAAGCCCTCTTCCCAATTTTATAGAGAATTTGGCGACAACAGAGGCTAAGAGGTAATGGCTGACGATAGTAGAGGTACCCGTCCCGACAGGAGCCTTCGTCTGCGCGGCGAGAAGTGCAGAGTCGTAGAAGGTGGTGGTCCAATGCCGATGGCGTATCGTGAGATTGGGAAAAAAAAAACCGGTCATAGCAGAACTTTCTTTAGCCATGGTGCTAAACGTCTACCAAAACGCGCTATGATTAGTTCCGTCGCCGCCGTCTGTCTTTGTTTCTCGTCGAGCGAACGGGCCTTCACCGATGCCAGGTCCGTGAGAGATGCCCGAGGAAAAATAGAGCATAGGCTGAATTCAACAGCACTTTCATACACATTGCGTACCGTGTGCGCCACATGGCGGCGCACGACTTTCCTGCCCCGTGTGGCCGCGTGCGCCACATGGTGGCGCACGATTTCTGAATTGGTTTTCTTCACAGTGGCTGTCGATGTTCATTCCATGTTTGCGCAGATGTATGTTATCTCACTAGGAGAACAACATACTTGAGTGGGACATCTCCAGCTTGTGAGCTAATATTTTTATGTGACACTAATAAGAGCCTAGGTTGCTAATTAAATTTGCTTGAATAAAATACATTCTTTATCTGATCAAATTTCAACAGTCCACAGACGCAATCTAAAGCTGTACCTCCAACTAGACTGCAAATAATAGTGTTCAGAACCCCCAAAGCATTGTGAATAAAGTGATGTGCCAGAGCGGAACATCAGCGTAAAGGCTTTCGGGGCGCTTCTTCCACTTAACTTACCTTTTGGCTGTATACTTTTGAAGTCTCGTGGTTTTAGGCACTCATCTTCATAATAACTTCTACTTGAAATCCTACTCGCGCTGCGCTATACCCTCGTATCAAAATCGATAATAAATGTTCGGCAAATTATGGGTGTAATACACCCACATCCCTTGAAGTCCAGTGGAGGGTGAAATGCACCTACGAATATCCTGTAAACTGAATAAACCTCATTGCTGTTCAATAAACATGCTTAAGCAGGTTGTGGGGTAAAGGAACGAACTTGTTGCCATCGCTTTTTTTCACCAGAACTTGGTCAGAGCAGATTTTTTGATCCCTCACTACCGCTGTTATATAATCATTCGATAGCCACTTGGAATGTTCATGACAGTTCAA